GATCTGTGGCAGCAGGGGACTGTTGGCAGCAAGCCGGACAGGCATGGCACGCCGCACTCCGCAGCTGCTGGCGTGCGGCGGGGAGCAGGAGTGCGGAGCTCGCCTGCGTCTTGCCGTCGGTGCGGGCAGAGCACTCCTGGTAGCCCTTGCCGCCCTGCATGCAGGGATCGTCCACGGCCTGCGGGAGGGGGGAGGATAGAAAGAAAGAAGGCAGGTAGGTAGGCTGTGGTGCCAGCTGGTGTGTGCCGGCACGCGGCGGGGCTGGGGGAACGCCGCAACGCGCGGGCTGGCCTGCCCCAGCCTGCCGCTCCCTCCCCGTCTTCCCACCCAGCCTGCTGCCGCTGCCTCCCCCTCCCCCACCCTCCCCACCACCGGCCCGCCCCCACCTTGGAGCACGTCTCTGGCGTGTTGCCCGCGGCGAATCCGGCACAGATGGCGCGCAGCACCTCTGCGGTCGCCATCTTGCCTCGGTACTGCACGCTGTTGATGCGGATGGTGGGCAGGATGAAGACCTGCAGGGAGGGAAGTTGGGTATGGTGGTGGTCGTGTGCATGGTGGTCGTGTGCGTGAATGTGTGTGAAGGCGGAGGACAGGTGTGGCGGTGTGGCATGGCTCAGCTGCATGTGCTGCACGACCCTGCACATGCCCGCCTCCCTCCCTCTGCCACCTAGGCCCTCCCTCTGCCTCATAGGCCCCTCCAGGTGCCGCCCCTTCCCTGCTGCCTGCCACGCCCACCCCACCCCCCTGCTGCCTGCCACGCCCAGCCCCACCCCGACCCCCTCACCTCCCCCTCCCCAGTCTTGTCATCCCCCTTCTGCGCCGCCAGCTGGGCATCCATGATGGGCTGGTCGGCGTCGGCGTCTTGCTGCCCGATGCAGCCCTGCAGCGCGGAGCGGCTACTCCACCCGTCCTTGTTGACCTGGTCAAACACCTGCGGACGGAAAGACGGACACACAGAAAACACGGATGGATGGGTGGATGGGCAGAGGGCCAGGGTTTTGCAGGCGCGGCGGGACGAGAGCTGACCCGGCAGCGGCAGCCGGCACCCTCCACAGCGCGCAGCGCGGGAGGCGGGGGGCGGGGTCCCGGGGCCGCGGCAGGCGCGGGCCGGGCGCACCCGCCCAAGCTTTCCGCCCGCGCCCCCTAAGGGCCTGCGCCGCAGCTTCCTGTGCGGGCATGCAGGCTGCGAACGGTGAACACAAACAAGCACAGCCCTGTAGAACCCTCCCTGGCACCTCCCTCCCTCCCTCCCACGCCCACCTTGAGCGCGCACTCCTCCCCGTACTGCCCGCTCTCCATGTCACACTGCTCCCCAAACAGAGTGACGTAGTCCCACCACAGGTACGCCCTCCCCGCCTCGCTGGACAGCTTGAACACGCACAGCTGGCGCAGGTTCTCCTGCGGGGGGGGGAGGGGAGGGGAGGGGAGGAGAGGAGAGGAGGTGGGGGGAGGGGAGGGGCCAGGCGGGGGGAGAGGGGTTGGGTGGGCAGAGGGGGCCGCAGCGGAGTGCGGGAGTAGGGTGAATATACATGTGTGATGCTGGTAGTGGTGCGTTCTGGTGGGCATGGTGGGACGGGGGCGAGCCAGGACAGCACAGCGGCGAGGCGGGGGAGAGGCTCAGCACATGGGCGCAGCTGCATCCCCTTCTCTCCGTGCCCCTCCCCAGGACCCCAGCGCCGCCCTGCCCTGCCCCTGCCCCTCCAACTCCCAACCACAGCCAACGCACCTGCACCACATCGCTGCCAGAGTAGCCTGCCGTGAGGTTGCCGTCCGGGTCTGGCGAGCAGTAGCGCCCCTTGCGGATGCACTGGCTGCGGCACTCGTCGCTGCACGGGGGAGGCGGGGCAGGGGGGCGGCTGGAGCAGGCGGTGGGAGGGCAGGGGGTGGGACGAGGGAACAAGGGGTCGGCTGCAAAGGGGTCTCTCGAAGGGGAGCCCCCAGCCAGGGCCGACGAGCCCGCAGAGGCAGCCACAGGGCAGCCGGCGGGCAGCCGGCGCGCGTGGCCGGCTTGTGCGGACCGGCGAGCGAAAGCATGCGGTACCGCGCGGTGCATGTGCGGTACCTGGTGCGGTACAGCGGGGGGCAGATCCACACGATGTAGTGCGGCGTGAACACGGTCCAGTTGTGGGAATCAAACTCCTGCGGGTGGAAAGCAGCACAGCACAGCGCAGCACAGCACAGCACAAGGGCAGCTTGGGGCACGACGCACGGGGCACAGCAGCGCGCTCAGCACGCAGCGCAGCACGCAGCGCAGCGCGACACGCTGGGTGGCGGTCGCATGCACGGCAGGCTGTAGGGTCGCCGGCGCAGGGGCCCCAGGCCGGGTGGTGGTGGGCGGGTTGGCTCGGCGCGGCGCGGCGGCGCGAGCCCGAGCCGCGGCCCGGCTCCCAGCTACTCTGCCCTGCCAGCGTCGCCCTGCCTGCCAATGCACAGGCCCACCCTCACCCACACCACCACACCCGCCCACCTTGGCCACCGGCACAAACTGCTTTATAAACTGCTTCTGCACGTCGCAGATGGGGCCGCACTGGTCGTTGGAGTTGGTCCAGAACTCCCAAAACACCTGTGGGCAGGACGGGGCGGGACAGCAGGCGGGACAAGGCAGGACAGGGGGCAGGCACGAAAGTTGGGGGGCCGCCGCGTCCGTTCCATGCTTCTGCTCGGGATCATGCCCAGACCGCACGGCCGCTGCCGCGTGCAGCAACGCCCAGGCCAGTCCTATCGGCCAGCCCAGCCGCGCGCCCGCGCCCGCCCTGCCCAGCCCAGCCACACCCACGCGCAGGCTGCTCCCTGTGCCACCTGTGCCTGCTCGTCCCCGCCCCTGCCACAGCTTCACACCCGGCCACACCCAGGCGCACCCAGCCGCACCCCACCTGCTGCTTCTTGGGCAGTATGTCTGTCCAATCCATCGAGACATAGACCGCGGCGCCGCCCTGGAGCAGCGCCTTGAGCGCGCCCCCCGTGGACTTGGTGACAAAGGTGGCGGGGATGGTGATGTTGCTGCGGGGCGGGCCGGCGGGGGTGGGATGGGTGCGTGGTGGGGTGAGGTCGGTGCAGGCGAGGCGGGGGTTGGGAGGTGCGTGCACAGCCGGCGCGGCCCGCCCCGCCAACACAGCCATGGCCGCTTGCCCATGCCGCAGGCGCGCACAGGCGCTCACGCAAGGCAGCGGTGCTCCTCCACGCCTGCCACACACATTCCAAACACACACACACACACTCTCCAACGTTTACACATGCCCGCGGCCAGGCCAGGCCAGCCAGCCCTGCCTCACGTCAGGAACTTCACGCTGGCCTCGTCGTCGTCATCGGGTGCCTCCATCGTCGTCAGCTTGTCCTCAAAGTTCACCACAATGGCACCCCGCGCGCCCGCGCTCTGCGCGTTCCACACCTGCGGGCGGGAGAAGAGCGGGGACGGCGGCTGGGGGTCGGCAGCGTGCCGGGGCTGCGGGGAGGAGGCGCTCCAGGCGGGCGCCGGGCGCTGCTCCTTCAAGCCGCCCCTGTGCTGCCCCCAACCCTCAAACCCGCCCGCCCGAATGTTATGAGTACAAAAAAGAATATGAGTTTATACAGCTCGCCTTCTCAGCAAACTTGCAGGGCGTGGCGGGCGCGTTGGGCCCCCGGTCCACCAGCATGATATACGTCTCCTGGCTGTCGCCACGCAGGTCCAGCGGCGGCGTGGCGGCCTGCAGGAGGCGTGGTTAAGAGGAGGGAGGGGTGGGACAAGGTGGGGCGTGCGGCACGGCAGATGGCGTGCGCGTGCGTGTGTGTGTGTGTGTTGCCAAGCCCGCCACCAAGCCAGCGCTGCCAAGCCCTGCTCGCGCAGGGGCCCGCGCCGCAGCTGCCCTCCCCGCGGCTTCTGAGTCCCTCACCACACGCACACATGCGAGCACACCTGCACGCACGCACATGCACACAGCACAACCGCCGCCAGCGCTGCAGCACGGTCCCGCTGCCTCACCCCAAAGTCCTGGCAGGCAAACACGCAGGGCGGGGAGCAGGTGTGCTTGTCTGAGTAGTAATCAGGGTCGACGTAGACGAGGCGACCCCGCAGCGTGCCGCCGTACCGTGGAGCGCCTGCAGGTGCGGGAGCAAGCGGCGGTGGGCCAGGGGTGCGTTGGACGCAGCCGGCGGTCACATGAGGGCAGCAGCAGGGCAAGGGCAAGGCGGTGCTTGCAGCAGCAAGCGATCCCAGACACGCAACGGTGCAAGTGGTGGACCTCAAAGGGTGGGCGGCATTTCACGCCGCACGTAGGCCTGGCGCCCACCCGCCGCCGCGTGCTGGCGCGCCCACCCGCCGGCCAGCCCGCGCCCGCTCCCGCGCCTGCCGCTCACCAAAGTTGGCCAGGGCCACGTCGAAGCCCTTGGGGTACTGCGACTTGGCCTCGGGCGGCAGCACAACCTTGAGACCGCCCTCTTCGATCACAAACCTTGCGCCCACACCTCCGCACGCCAAAAGCACCGCTAGCAGGGCAATGGTACGCATGGCGTCGACTCTAGCCGCGTGACTGGGGCTCAGCAGCGTCACCGGGTGGCAAACTTGGTTGCAGAGCATAGAGGGTGGGGGAGGCCCTGAGCGTGTCCCCTAGCTCTGGAGAGCGACCAAGCAGCTGATGCCACTGTATCTTTCAGACGAGTCTAGGCCTCCCTGCCAGCTCGACTGCCACTCAGCAGTGGGCCCCAAGAGCAGCTTTTGGCCCGGCACGCCACTCCACGCGATCACCGGTCCACAGTCAGCTGATCACCTGCCAGCCGGGCCTGCAAGCTCCGTGTTTGAGTGTCCTGGAGGAAGGGTTCGCCCGCAGGCTGCGGCACGGCCGCCCCTTCCCCATGCGGTAGCATCACAGCCGAATTAGAGGTCGTGTATGGGCCGCAGAGCCCGGGCAGCGGCACATGCCGTCTTGCACACAATCCTCCTCCTGCTTCCGCTGCTGGCTGGCCCGGCAAATGCGCTGTGTGCCGAGGTGAGGCCGCCTGCCCGGCTCTGTTTCCGCTTGCGCCCGCTGCCAGCCGGCCAGCCAGGTGTCTCCTACACCCCGCCTCTCCCGCCGCCGGTAGCCGCGGCCTATCACGCTTGGGTTGGTCCTCCTGTGCCCCTGCTGCAGCCACCTGCTGCCTTCGGCCCCGCCTCCGCGGCCGCCAGCGTCAGCCTGAGGAGCGGCAGCAGCCGGGCGGAGGAGGACGGCGAGGACGACGACAGCAAGGCGCAGGGCACCAGCAGCTGCGGCGACTCGCTTTGGGAGCTGGCCAAGGGGGCGCCCGACCTGCGCATGCTGGTGGCGGTGCAGGAGCTCACCACCCTCAACTTCTTCACCCCCTTTGGCAAGAAGAGCCGGCGCCACTTCACGCTGCTGGCGCCCACAGACGCAGCCTTCCACGCCGTCTTCAGTGAGCGGCAGCTGGCGGGGCAGGCGGGGAATGCATGCGGTACAGCAGTACAGCGGCACAGCCTGCCTAGCGACCAGGGCGCAGTGCTCATGCTTGTCAGCGGTGGCGGCATGCCGGGGCTGCGGGGGAAGCCTGCTGGGGGGACAGCGCCTGCGCCGCCGCCTGCCGCATCGCTGGCATCCGACCCGCTTGTGTGCCACCCTGGCGTGCTGCGTGCCAGATGGGACGACTCCCGAGGAGCTCCAGTCCCTCAAGGACGGCTTCCCGGCGCTGCTGCTGTACCATCAGGTGCGGGAAGCGTGTGTGCGAGGATGGTTGGGTTGAAGCAGAGGGCAAGGGCAAGGGCGAGGGCGAGGGTGGGCAGTCGCAGAGGGGTCCGGCCTGCCGGGCGCTCGCGGCTGGGCGTGCTTGGTAGTGCATTGATGGGAAGGGAGCTGGGTGGGCTGCCCTTCACCATGCCCCCCCTGTGCATGCGCCCCCTGCCGCCGCAGTATCTCTCACATGGCTACAGCGCCGAGGAGCTGGCGCAGCGGTTTGAGGCCATCACGGCGCTGGGGCCCTCGGTCAATGAGCCGCAGCTGAAAGTGGACGTGAGGCGCCGCCGCCGCCCGCCGCCGCCGCCGCGGGTGGACGCCCTGCTGCCGTCAGCGGCGCCCTGGCTGCGGGCGCTGCCGCTGCACGCCGCATACGATGCCGCCGGCGCGGCGCTGCTCCGTCGCGCCCAGCCCTTGCGCTGCTGCTCAGCGCAGGCCGCGCCGCCCGGCCTGCCGTGCCTGTGCAGATAGACAAGAACGGCGGCGCGTATGTTGTGAGCGGCATGGCTCCCAACAACTACGCCAGGGTGGTGCGGGAGCAGGAGGTGGGTGGCGCCGCGCCGCAGCAGCACAACACAGCCCAAGGGGAGCGCTCTGCCCTCGCGGGAGGCTGCCCGGGCAGCGTGGCGCGCGCGGCTGCGACCGCCGGTGACCCCGCCCATGTGTCCTTCCGCTCTGGGAGGCGTGCATTGTGGCTGCCGCGAGCAAGGCGGGAGCCCACGCCCCGGCGCCTCGCCCCGCTGCCCTGCGCAGGCCTGCGGCAACCACCTGCTGGTGCTGGACACCATGCTGCGGCCGATGCCGGAGCTGTCGCAGCTGCCCAAGCTTCAGTCCATGGATCCCATCAAGGGCAGCCAGTGGAGGGAGGTGCTGTCCACCATGCGGGACAGTGCCCTGGGCCTGGGCAGCAGCAGCGCCAGCAGCAGCGATGGCAACAGCAGCAGCGGCGGCAGCAGCAGCAACACGAGCAGCGGCGGCGGCGGCGGCGGCGGCGGCGGCGGCGGCGACGACGGCGCCTCTCGGCCGCGCAACCAGGAGCCTGAGATGGTGATCAGCGAGGCCGCGTCGGCGCCAGCGCCGCCCTCGCCGCCGCCGCTGCCGCCGGGCGCCAGGCCCGACTGCTCGGTGCTAGCCGCCAGCGGGCAGCTCATCAACATGACAGGCAGCATGGCCGTGGAGTGCCGCACCGTGGAGGGCGACGGCGCCGTCATCAGCAGCGGCTCCACGCAGACGGCGGTGTCTGATGCCGGGCAGATAGACCCTGCAGCGGTGGCGCCGCCGCCGCCGTCGCCGGGCTCGGCGGCGCCGGCGCGCGCGCGGGCACGGCTGGCGGCGGCCGGGCTGGCGCTGGCGGCGGCGTGGCTGCTGCTGCTGAGTGGATGAGCAGCTGCTGCTCGGCTTCATCGTGATGTCATCTTTTGTCACCGTGTTTGTTTTAGTTTTTCCTGTCGACCGCAGCAATCACTTTTGCATTTGTTGGCATGCTGGCTCGCCCGTGGCCTGCCCACCGGCATTTGGCCTTTGCTTGTGTTTTGCTGTGCTGTTTTCTTTTCCGTGCCTGTTCTCTCTTGCTATCTCCCTAGGCGATCTGCACACACATAGATCTGCACACATATGAACCAGCAGGAGAAGGGCAACTCATGCCCTTCATTTTCCAACGATTTACCATTCCTCACCTGCAGACTGGCAGGCCCCTCTTTCCTCGTCTGACATGTACTGACACCTGACGCCGCCCCTGATTTGGGGCGCCCGTAGCTCTGACCTCCCTGCAACCTGAGTAGGATACCCAACCAACATGCTTTCCTACCTTTCTCTCACAGCCGCAACCACATCTGGTTCACATGTAACCCGGACCTAACCTGTAGCGAGGGCATGGCACCGCCAGTCCGCAGGCCTCCATCGGCCGTGCACACGTAGCAACCTTGCAAGGTGGGCAGCAGGACAGGATGTGCCGCTGACCATGAAACGGCTTAACAGGTGCACTGCCTGCACAGCAAGCAGAGGGATGCACGGTGTGAGCACCAGCTGAAACAAGACAGCTAGCGGGCCCAGGAATGACTGCGAACTCGCCCCATGCTCAGAGTGGCGGCAGCATGGCGGGCGGCGGCGGCGGCGGTTTGTGCGGCAGTGCACATGTGTTCATGCAGCCTGATGCTGCATTGTCGTGTTCTCTCCGATCAGACTATTTATTATTTCGCTGGCCTGCGGTTGCAACGGCTCTAGTTGCTGCAGTCAGTTCCTGGCTGGGCTCGTCGGAGCAGGCTGAACCCGCTCGCATGAGTTACAGTGTAGCGTTGAGAGCTTCATTCATGTTTATCAGCCAAGCAGGAAGGGGCGCGAGTGCAGCAAACTAGCTCAGTGCCGCCGACCCCCTGAGGCGTTGCAGCAGCTATGCAGCAGGATCGCCCACCCAGACCTCCGGGCACGGTCAGCCGCTACGGGCCAGTGCCCGCGGCACCCGCCTACCACCGCGGCGGCGGCGGCGGCGGCGGCGAGAGCGGTGGCTCGCCGCCGCCGCTGCAACCCCCGGTGCGCTGCTGCTGGGCAGGCCCCAGGCCCCACCCTGTTGCTGCTGCATGTCTGGGTTGCATACAAGCTGTGGGCTCAGCTGTGTGCCAAACGCACAAACCATGCCACGCCAACCGCCTCGAGCCGCGCCGGCAACCGCCGCAGCTCCACTTGCCCCTCGATGCGGTGCTGCTGCCCTGGCCTGCGCGCTTGCCGACTGCGGCGTGCAACCCTGGGACTGCAGGCTCAATCGGTGGCGCTGGCATACCAGGAGGCGCACAAGCGGCAGGCCCAGAGGAAGAGCACCGCTTGGAAGGTGGGGGGTCTGCGGGACCCGGGCGGCGGCCTGCCATGCGCCTGTGGTTGGCAGCTTCGCCCCAAGCATGGACCACCCGCCTGTCCCCCCGCAAAGTCCCCTCCCTCACCCCATCCCTGCCGCCGCAGGTGTGGCTGGTGCTGGGCGACTGCACACTGATAGGCCTTGCGCCGGTGCTGGTGCACATGGCAAAAGACTCACAAGGGCACTACGCCTTCAGGCAAGCAGCATGTCACCTGGCTTGCCCAATGCCCCTCTGCCGCCGCCGCCGCCAAGCATGCCCGCGCCCCTGCACGAGGTGCAGGGAGGGGCCTGGCGTGCCGGTGCTGCCGCGGCGGGCCAGCTCGCGGGCTTGCCGCTGCGCCCAGTATTTCTTCCCTCCGTGCCGCCGCCGCCGCCGTGCTGCAGCCCGATCGCAGTCAACTTGCTAGTGGAGGCGGCCAAGACGCTCTTTGCTCTGGGCACCCTCATAGCCTACGTGAGCATGGCGGCGCTGGCTGGCTGGGCTGGGGGGCGCACCTGGTTCCGCTGCCATGCCTGCAGCCAGCCTGCTGCTGCCGCCGCGGATGATCCTAGCCGCCAGAGGGGCCCACGCCCGCATCCGGGGCAGGCCGTGGGGAGCCTGCAGCTCACCAAGTTGACCGCAGCGCGGTGTGTGCTGTTTGGCGTGGTGGTGCAGGGTACGGGGCGGGTGGGGACCCCCATGTACCGCAGCTGGCGGGCGTTTGTGCGGGACGCGCGGCACAACCACCTGCTCATCATCCCGGCAGCGCTGTACGCGGTGAGGGGGGCGAGGGAGGGCCTCGTGGCGGGCGGCGCCCTGCTGGGCTGGGCACACAGCCCTGTGCCGGGTCCCTGCTGCCCTGCCCGCCAGGCTCAGCATGCGACCTAGCTCGTGCTGTGCTCATGCTGTGCTCATGCTGTGCACGCTGTGCTGTGCCCCCCTCCCCCCCCAGGTCAACAACTACCTCAAGTTCCTCATGCAGCTCTACTTCAAGCCCACCACCGCCAAGATGCTGTCCAACCTCAAGGCGCGGCGCTGGGGAGCGGTGGCGGTGGTGGGGAGCGGTGGTGGTGGCGGCGGTGGCGGTGGTGCGCCCCGTCCTACGGTTGTGGGGTGCGCCCCTCTCTGGCTGGCCCCTCCCCTGGACGCACCCCTCCCCCTCCTGCCCCTCCTGCCTGCCGCAGATCCTTGTGATCGCGGTGCTGCTGAGGAGCGTCATGAACCGCTCCTTCAACATCTACCAGTGGGAGGCGCTGTTCCTGCTGGTGGCGGGCATCACGGGTGCGACGGGTGTCCTGGGCAGCGGCGCGTCTAAACAATAGGGGCCGCCGCAGGCCCGTCCGACCATCCCATTCACTCTCCCGCATGCATGGTGGCGGCCTGCCTGGCACCGCGCGGCAGCAGCGCCCGCTTGCCTGCGCAGCGGCGACTCGTTATGCTCAGCCCAGCCGTGCCTGCCTGTGCCTCTCCGCGGCCTGCCTGCCCGCCTCACCGCAGTCAACCAGCTCAATTACTGCGGCAAGGACGGCGGCGGCGACGTCTTCTCGCCGCTGGCAATCCTGTACACGATCGGTGGGCGGCCGCGCCCCGGGCGGGCCGCCCAGGACGCCGGGGCTGCCGTCGCTGCCGGGGTCGTTGCTGCCTCTGCCTGCCACTGGCTGTGATCTGCTCTGCCCCTGCCGGCTGTGGTCTGCTGTACCACGTGAGGCGTGTTTTGTCCTGGCAAGCCGCCTGCACGGCCCGCCCGACAAACGCTCCCCTGCCCCACCACCACCACCACCCCGGCGTCTCTTACATATATGTATAACATTTGTGTATATGTATGTGTGTGTGGATCCGTGCAGGCAGCATCACGGTGCCCTCTCTGGCCTCTGTGTACAACGAGTTTGCGCTGAAAAAGCACATGGACACGAGCGTGCTGCTGCAGGTGTGTGTGGATGTGTTGTGGGTGTGTGGTGGTGGTGGTGGGGGGGGGGGGGCGGGGGGGGGGGGGGC